GGGCTTTAATTTAATATTTTTGGATTTCATTTTTTTTTTTAATTATTTATTAGTTTTGGATAAACTTTTTTTTTATAGTTTCAAAATTATTAAATAATTTTAGAAATATTTTTTATATATATTTTTATATTTAATATATTTGATATATGATATAATTTTTGATTTTTGGACTGAAAATTTTTAATTCATTTGGAATTCACTTTGAATTCTCACTTTTTTAGCTGCCCTGACTAGTGACCACCTGTACATAGACTATACTTTTAAATTTGTCTTTGTCGGATCTGAGGTTTTTTGATGTCCTGGAGCTGTGACAAGATGTGTCATTTTTAGAATGATAGTGTTGTCTCTTGCCAGGAAAGTTTTACATTGCAAAGTGTTTAGAAAGTGCTGAATTCAACAAGAAATGTCCAACTTTTGCTTTCCTTATTGTTTTGATTCATGGCATCTGTTTCAATATTGGTCAAAAAAGCTTGTCTTGAATACATTTCCATCTTGAGTTAATACAGCAGATTTGAAAGACAATTACGGTATTTTACACATTTGATACGAAGAATGATATGTTGTTTATCGAATATGAGAGACTGAGAGATTTTTAAAGATATATTAGATCAGAAGTTAAAGAAACCTCTGGTTTGCAGTCAATAAAGATGCCTCATCTCAGACATAGTTAGTTTAAAACAGGTTATTCTACCTTCCTCTATGTAAATAATATTTCCCTTTACGCAGGAAAGGAGAAATACAGAGATAAAATATTTAAAGACAATAAAGATAACAACAAAAAAGCTTATTGTATTTACATGGGAGTGGAAAGGAAGTAAAAATATAAAAACGGACGCCTTAGTATGATGGACCTTGTTTATATAGTTTTACAGTGTGTCGTCGATGCGTTCTGGTACTCAAAATATTAAACAATGTGAATAGTTAAAAGGTTAAATGTTTATAGAGCATAGCAATATTTCTTTACTAGTCATCTTTTGTACTATTAAAACTTTCAAAACTATATTCTCTACCCCTTCGTTTTTTGTATCACGTCCTACATTAGTCACTGATAATGTTTACAGATAGCCTTCTCACCTGGTTCAACTTTTCTTTTAAGGTGGTACAGAGACGCATGGATTGCATGGAAAGACCGGAACCCCAGTTGACGGGAGTTCCCTGGTCATTACAATCTTGGGATAAAAGAGCAGGACTGCCCCTACTACTCTGAGCACATATTTGGAGAACATGATTCGGAGATGGAGGGCCCTCCGTCTATACTCTATATCCCTCACAGGAACCATCTTGGTTTGGGTTATCGATAACCCACCTTTTCAACTACCATCAAGGACACCTACGATGGACTCTATGGAGGAACCCGGTGTGCTCCCGACTCCTACACGGACGTCAAAGTCGGGACACAACCTACCGCTGGAGTACTGCTCAGGATGTGACTCAGGGTGACCAACATTCTCAAACAGGACAACACTTGCTCCGGACGGTTGAAACTAGAGCCTTGTTTTTCGTTATATCTGCTCTCTGGAGCCACCTGTCGTGAGTGAAGGGACTTTACGCCGTGCCTGAGTATTAGAGAACGCTATGTGTTCTCGGGACTCCAAGCTTAGAAGGGAGGTATCTATAGGGAGGCCGGGACTTCGGTTCTCCTATTCACATTACTGGGTTCTTTGACCTAGGGCCTACCCTGGAAGATACGTGCCCAGACAGTAAGGGGTACAGGGACCTAGGGGTCCCACTATATTAGATCTTATCTAAGTGTAGACCAGGAACCATTACACGAAATTTGGCAAGTCGGGCATGGAACAGGATCGTACTGTGGGTAATCAGGTTATTTCACTCTCTCACTACAGCATGAGAGGACTCTTCCTTGTTATACAGGTCCCAATCACCATTGGATCCGGACATCTTATCACTCTTAGACGATGACATATCTAGATGGAAATCTCAACTCCGGTTTACGTTCCCATCCTTTTGAATATTTCCAGGATTCACAATCCCCAGAATAGTCGTCACCGTCCCACCACACAAGTTCAGTGTTTTTCCGTATTTGGGATGCTTCGTCAGCTGGCATCCTCATCGACCCGTCTACTGGCAATTCTCGCAGTTGGAAAGTCCATTTAGGATTGCTCTGATATCTCCTGGAATAGGTACCAACGAAACAAACAGCGTTGGATTTGTTGACTGAGCGTTAAAACAGTAAATGCGAAGCCTCCTTTCATGTTATAAAATTGTAGATTATGCTAGCTTTAGTGTACCTATAATCTTAATTTTATTAATGACAGGAGGCTAGTATTTCCCACCCATTGTTATCCCTCCCTTGTTTAATTTTAATAGTTTGGATTAATCAACTCTGATTGTTGTCTCTGCTACCTGTCACCTGTTCTTATGTCTGTTTTTCATAAGTAGGGTTGGGATATCTTCATATTAAGTGAATTTTGGTTTGCTACATTAGGTACCTACATGTTTATTCAGAGTACATTTCATTGGATAATCAACCTGTTCGATTCTGTTTTTCTCTCGTTTCAGTTTACAATCCATCAATGCTATCTGGTGTGGCAGTTCTTCTTGGATGGTGGACATTGTTGTATTCATCGTATCTAGGACTTTGTTTCTTCCCCATTATGTTTTCTGCCTTGTGTTCTGTTTTGTCGCAGCTTGAAAGAGGAAATGATGCATGGGGAGGGGAGTTTTATAGTACCTAACTTTTTTTCTGATTGGTTTTTTTTCTGTGCTGCTGTGGAGTTCTAGTAAAGAGAGACTTAAGCCTCCTGTCATTAATAAAATTAAGATTATAGGTACACTAAAGCTAGCATAATCTACAATTCTATTTCGAACATGGGCACCACATATGTTCTACAGTATGACAATATTTTGTCACCATGTTGCAAAAAATATTAAAATTAATATTTAACTATTGGACTGTGTTTCCTATGTACTCATGGATGTGTACTATCCAGAGCCTGACTGGGAACTAAAAGCAGCCCTGGAAAAAAATGTATTTACCAGCCCAATAATGCGTCGGGCCAGCATAGTGTGCTGATATAGAGGTTGAAAAGACAACTTAAAATTAAAAAGTACTCAAACGTGAAAGAAAGCACTCGTAGGTTTCAAAATAAACAAAAGTGCAGATTTATTTTGAGCAGACATATCTTTGCAGATAATCAAAGTCCAACTACTGTATTATTACATATTAAGGAACATTTAGTAATGGGACTGAAATGGTGAATGTGTGCGGTTGCACAACTGTAAAAAAATAAGTTATCTAGTTTATTTTTAAGTCCTATGAGTGCGCTTTTCACTTTAAATATGTTATTGTGCTGGAGTGTGCACCTAGCAACAAGACAGGGCCAATATGTGCTCATTACGTATATGTTACATATTAATGACATTTCTGTGTGTATTATGCATATATAAATTTATATCAAGATATGTGTAAATATTATAGGCATAATTATATATAACTAATACATAATATACATGTCTATATATATACTTTAATGTCAGAATCACATCAATTATAATGTCTATTTGTACATTGTGTTAGCAAGATTGCTAGCACAATGTATATATTGGAAGGAAAATCTATTTAATAAGAGCTCTTTCTCTCACCTGTCAATTAGGTCTTCGGCATAAACTCCCGTGCTGAAGAACTGAGTTCCAGGGAGAGCAGGAGACACACGTGAAAATGCATCCCCCAAACACACACACATAAAATGCATCTTCTCCTGTGTTTCTCTTAACCCCCTTTTGAATTTCCTGCTGATTTTTGTGTTTCTTGTTTCCCCTTGTAACCACCCTTGTGCATCTTTTACTTCATCTCAGTCCCTGTGTGTCTCTTTTTACCATTCTTCAGCCCTCTGTATGTCTCTTTCTCCCCTTCCGAAACCTTTCTGTGTATCTCTGCTCCACCAGCCCCTCCTTGTGTCTCTTTCTACCTCCAGCCCCTGCGTCTCCCCCAGACCCTCTGTATGTTTCTTTCTCCCCCTCACTGCTCCTCTGTGTCCATGTCTCCCCTCACCTTCCCAGTCTCTCTCTCCCCCCTCTTTCTTTCTCCCCCTCCCTGTGTCTCTCTCTCCCCCTCTGCCTCTTTCTTCCTCTCCATCTGTGTCTCTCTCTTCCCCTGTCTCTTTCTCACCCTTTTTCCTGTGTTTCTCTCTCCTCCACATCTCTCTACCCCTCTGTAATTTTCTCTCCCGTCTCTCTAATATCTCAAATACCGGTGGACTTCAAAACACAGACCTTTCCTGGTTTTCATTTTACCTCTATCAAAGTTCCTCAGTTTTCTCCTTTTCTGGGAACACCTATTTTTCTCACCTTGTCTAACTAACTATAGTGTCACAAACATGTATTTCTGACACTTACGTTATAAAAAATACATGTTAGGGCCCCAGCCTCCCTTACCTCTGGTTAAAAAGTTATTTAACTTACCTTATTACCTTTTTCCCCTATGTCTCACTCTTCCCCCTCAGTCGCTTTCTCCCCCCTTTCCCTGTCACTCTCTCATCCCCCTCTGTCTCTTTCATGCCCTTCCCTCTGTGTCTCGCTCTTCCCCTCCCTCTGTGTGTCTCTCTTCCCCATGTCTCTTTCTCGCCCCTCCCCCTCTCTCTACTCCGTCTGTCTCTTTCTCCCCTGTCTCTCTCTCTCTCTATTCCCCCTCTGTTTCTTTCTTCTCCCTCCCCCTGTGTCTCTCTACTCCCCCTATGTCTCTGTCTCCCCCATTTGTCTCTCTCTTCCCCCTCTGTGTACATATATAAGTGTTAACAATTTAATTATATATTTGTGTTTTTTTTGGAGGGTGCACTTCTACTCTGTGTTTTGCACATTGTTGTTGTTTTTTATTTTAAACTGACCAAATGCAGTGTAGACGACCAAATGAGGAACACTGTATCTGCAGATGCCTGTGTTTTTTTGTAAGTTATCGAGGACATGAGTGTACTAATGAGTGGCCCTCAGTTTATTTATAAAATAGAAGAAATACATGATCTAGACCAGGTATAGGCAACCTTCGGCACTCCAGATGTTTTGGACTATACCTCCCATGATGCTTTACCAGCATTATGGGGGATGTAGTCCACAACATCTGTAGTGCTGAAGGTTCCCATCCCTGATCTAGACAGTCTGCTTCCTGATTCTCGTTGACCAAATTTGATCTTATCTCATCCCAGTACTTAATGTTGTATTTATTTATCTTTGATTGTTTGCGTGAGTGTTTATAAATGAATGTTGGATATTTTCAATTTTTTCTTGTCATGCAATTTTAATTTTCCAGCTGCCCTTTTCTATCTGCCTTTTACAACATTTTTTTTATATTTTAGTCTATTCCAAAGGATGCAGTTGATCCCTCTGTCGCATATAATTTAAATACCATTTCTTCTTTTTCTTATTTCCCGACTGACGTCTCTCTGTTAAGCCGCCTCTGCTTCTTCTATTGCTGTTTTCTATTGTTGATAATGTTAATTTAAATATATTACACTAATACTTTGTGCTTTTCCTGAGAACAATTTATCCAAATCAATGATCTCTAAGGATGGTTTTCACACATTTTCCAATAAAATTGTAGAGATGAGCAAAAATGCTAAGTTACACTTCACGGTTGTTGGCATTAGGGCAAAAACACTTTCTCCCAACAAAACTATTTTAAGGACATTACTTGACTGTGATGGATGATTAATATATGAAATTGTTTGATTGTACTGTCTGTTTTTTCACCTTTATAGAAGATATTACCACTATTTAGAATTTATGTGAACAGTAGGCATTAATTTTTATTTTTATTGGACAAACACTGGAATGGGCATACACACATTAGCATGACAAGACTTGTGCATTGGTATTAGAGTTTGAGACATTTGGACCAGACAGACAAATGTTACTCCTTTATTGTTCTTCAAAACTAGGATTTGTGAGAGTTAAGGAGGTTTAAAAACATCCTGATCGTCATTATACGTGTAATCTACCACTTGTCACACCTCCGAATCTTGACATTTCCCATGCCACAGCTCAGAAACGTGTAGTGTCATTGAAGTCAGATTGCAGATTTAAAGGAACACTGTATTTCTAATGCTAGATTGCCTCAACTCAATGAAAACATTGCCTTTTCTCAAAAATAAGTCAGTGTTTACAATTGAGAGACTGCAGGGAGAATATGTTGACATCAAAACCACTACAATAATTAAGCTGTCTTAATGTTGTGTCTTTAAAGGGACACTATAGGCACCCAGACCACTTCAGCTCAAAGCACCGTTTAGTGTATAATTCTGTAAGTCTGTCTCTTGGCATGACAGATATACATTCATAATCTTTTGTACTTTTGTTTAAGGGTTTACGTTAAACAGTTTAAAGTGACTTCATTAGATATATTTGCGGTCTATATAAGTTTTTTGACTCACTTTTTTTTCTTTTGACAATATTGTTATACGCTACTTCTCCAATATCTCAAATACCGGTGGACTTCAAAACACAGACCTTTCCTGGTTTTCATTTTACCTCTATCAAAGTTCCTCAGTTTTCTCCTTTTCTGGGAACACCTATTTTTCTCACCTTGTCTAACTAACTATAGTGTCACAAACATGTATTTCTGACACTTACGTTATAAAAAATACATGTTAGGGCCCCAGCCTCCCTTACCTCTGGTTAAAAAGTTATTTAACTTACCTTATTACCAGCACCGCACCGCTTTCATTGCAGCTGGTCCCACCACCCCCCTGCTTCCTTGGCTCAGATCATCAAATTCCCGTAGGAAAGTATTGCAAAGCTATTGCGCATACGCTGCAAAGCGCAGCACACACCAATCAGCATTTCCTCATAGCAATGCATTGAATCCCACTATGCAACACTGACCAAGGAAGCACCTCTAGTGGCCATCTGAGTGACTGCTACTAGAGGTGTTCCTAGGCAATAATGTAAACACTGTTTATATTAAAAAACTTGCAGTGACTGACTGTAGGCACCAGAACAACTCCATTAAGATTGTATCACCACCTGTATGCTAAATGTTGAAACTTGTTTATTCATTTTGTGGGTTCTTTTTTTCCAACAAAAAGCAATTATCTTAATCGGTTTGTCAAGATGAAAGCTAATCCTTTACCTATCCCTTTTGATGAACTCTGGGAAAAATACATTAAACTATTTGTTGACTGTAGAAGTTCACATTTGCAATATCTTACATGCACATCTAGCGAAGTGGTGGATTACTTTTTATAATAAATAGGAGTAGATTGAATGTTCATATATCCATTGCCAGAGGGGACACCATTCTTTGCTTTATCCAGTTACATTGCAAGTCATTACTCAATTCTGCATAATAATCAGACACATTCATTTTATGTATAAATAAATACAGTGTGGCGATGGCACAAATAGTAACAGTTTAGTGTTTCCATGGCTACACATACTATGTTAAAAATCTTTCGGGAAATAAAAAGCAGAAGGCGACGAACATTTTAAAGTTACATGATATATTTATCTCCATGTATTAATATTCTTTTCACCTAATGTGCCTAGTGCAAAAGATGGATTAAGCAATGGATAATTTTGGTACTCCCATGTTTTGAATATGCCAACCAATTGATCACTAGAACACTAAAATATCACCATTGTTTTACTGTCCTTAGGCACAAAATGATTTATGCTTGCATTGTGTTCATTAGTTTTAAACATTCCATCCTTTGATCTTTTGTTTGAGCATAGGGTATTCATTTCAGGTATAGTTATGTCATTTATGTATATACTTTGGCCTTGTTATGTAGCCATGGTAACAGTCTTCTAAATACCTGGGCCAAACCCCTTGGAATAGACTATAGAAAACTGTCTGTCACTACTTTTCGCATTTCGCATTTTAGAGCAAAATAATATTGCACAAGATAAAGTACTTGTTCAAATGGTTTTGTCAGGATTATGGTTCATCGAGCACGCAGAATAGTATCACACCTAGAACTAAGGATATCGTTTAACCGGACCTTAGAATGGCCGGATTTAACGTACCTGAGAACAGTCAAAATACTTGTCGAGGTCAGGGACACAGAAAGAGACACAATGAATGAAAAAGCCAAAAGTCAACAATAAAAAGGTAATTTGGGTTTAAACAACCCTCCTTAGGCTGTAATTGGCTGTCTCTGACATCGGACCCCAAAACATGCGTGCACATCTGTGACATGACGTTGCACACACGTTGGCGCCATCTTTGATGTGGGCGAAGGTAAGTTTCTTATAAAAGCCCGAACCGCATCAGTCGGCATTTCTAAGAACATTGCACCCCCTGAGGACCAGAACGGAGGGAGACCAGGCAGTTGCCCGCCGGTGCCAAGGTGAGTCTGAAACATCTCTGTCAGCGTGGCTGCTAAGTTTCTGTGCAGCCACACCGGCAGAGGGACCGGGAGCTGTGACAGGTTTGTCCAAAGTACTATTTTTGGTATTATATTTGAAAGATTTAGAACAGTCCTTTGTTGGACATCACAAAATGTTTTGATTAAAATTATTTTCAAATAAACAGCATATTGAAATATCCAACCTCTAACCTAAGCTGTACAATATAGGACACAGATTAGATAGATAAATAGATCATAAATATACTTTGCACAGTAATTTACATTTTATTATTTCCTCTAGATTTGTGATTATTTCTTACACCTTTGTGTCCCTTTAAACACCATGTCAGGACTGTTTTTCCATAGTTTATGATTTTGTTTGAAATATCTTGACTTGTTTAGAAATTCTGACATTTCTGAAATGTGTTTCAGCTTCATTCTTTGAAGAATGCCAGTTCCTGTTCAGATTTAATTTCTCAAGATCGACTTGTCAACAGTTTCCATTGTGCCTCATTTGACCTTGAGATTAATAAGTGTCATTTTTTGTAAAATCTTTTATTTGGTAAAACGGCAGCTACAACAGGTCAAGCCACAGATGGTAGCAAAAGCTGTCACTTGCAAATACCAAATTAATCTTCCTCATCTTTTCCTTCTGAATGTCCAGCTTGGGAAATTGATTTAAAATTGTAAAATGATAATAAAATGAAGAAGCTTTAAAAATAAATTCCATATTTAAATTGTAAAATAAAGGCAGATACGAGGATGAACACAAAAATGTTTTTTGACTCTGAGCATAGACAACAAGAACTTGAAACAATTAATTTATTTTTTGTTTTTGTTTTTTTAAACTGCTGCCAAAAATTATCAAAGTAAAGCATATTATGTATTTTTATTGTTCAAAACTATTTCTTTTGAATATTTGTGTCCTTTGGTTTACCTTAGCATATACACTGACCAGTGAGACTTCTAAGTGCTGTTTCTAAGTGTGTAGTTGGAGATATTCTGGAGAGTTTTACAGAAGCTTCAACTGTCTAAGAGTTGTGCTCAGGGCCGGACTGGGGATACACAGCAGCCCTGGAAAAAATCTATGCCAGCCCCATGTCATTGAGCCTTGTGTGTGAGTGTATATATATATATATATATATTTGTGTGTATAAATTAGTAACTGGAGCAGGATAGTGGAGTGTAGGGGAATGTTGGTGTGTGAATGCAGATTAGAAGGGGTTGAGTTGCCAGCCAGATGTGAAACGTTATGAGCCACCTCAAATGCTTGTGCACAGTATTTTTATTTATTTTTAAATTGCATATTATTTATTCAAGTATGTACACAACTTCAATTTGTGTGTATGCAGGGGCATATTTGTATTAATAGTTTTATGTGTCGGTGTATATGCAGGGCCATATTTGTATGTAGTTCGTGTGGATACAGGTGCATATATATGGAGCAGGTCAATGTGTTTAAATGTAGGGACGTGTGTGTGTGTGTGGAGAGTCTGTGTGTGTGAATGCAGGGATGTGTCTGGAGGTTTGATGAGCGTAAAGGAGCAGAAGTGTGTAGTGGGTCAAAGTGTTCTTGTGTATGGTGGACACTGACTCTCTGCGTGAATGAAGTTGTCAATTTGTATCCCTCATTGTCTGTAGTCCATTTCCATCTGCAATAGCTAGTAGCCCATTACTGCCCCATAGTTTGTAGTCTGTTTTTTCCCTCCTATTTCCCATAGGTAGAAGAAGCCTAGTCTTTGCCCTCTGTAGTTAGTAGCCCATTCCCTTCCCCCCATAGTTAAT